GGGGGGGGGGGGGGGGGGATAGGAGGCCTTAATACCAGTAAGAAGGATGGGTCCCTATGAGGAATTGCAGCAAGGCCACTGTGCGGGTTCATCATCGGATATCCCTGGAGGCTTCCATTCATGGCCAGCGGCACATGACAGAAGGCAGCCTTTGCTGGCATTTGGGGGCATTTTTGTAGTTAGTTCTGACTATGATTACTACTACCATTGTCATGACTTCTGCCATTCACTGTTGTTAGTCAAAAATGTGGGTTTTAGAAGGTGGGTTTTAGAAGGTGGCCTGCACTGGGTTCCCCTCTTTGGGTACACTTTTCCGATCTTTAATCTTTGATTGTCAACAGCTCTGATCCTTTCGCCTGCACGAACCTGACAGGATACCCACAAACACCATCCTTGAAGGTCCCATCAGAAGCGATTTCAGGAGGTCTAGTTTGATTGTACGTGGGCTATGGCTATGACCTACAATAGTCTTATTGTAACATAAGTTTCAGATCTTCCCTCGGTGTGATTGAAAGTGAACCCCGCAGGTCAAGCACCCAAACCCTTGAATCACTGCATGTCAGGGCAAAGCGACACGAGTTTTGGGTTGCATGAGAGACAGGTGAAGCCTTGGCGGGAAGGCTATGGTTCAGAGCTGTGAGCAAAAAAACGCCAAGTTTAGCTGGATAGATAGATCCAACCAGCCCGCTGCACCATCAATCCGAAGACATGACTCAACGGCACAAAGTCAAACCCTGTAACTGTATGGCCCAATATCAGAAATCCACTGCAAGATCATGCAAGTCAAAACTTTACCAGAAGCCTACACCCTAAACTTGCCACCGCCAGGACACACCCTGTGGCCACTGCGGAACTCTGCAGGGATATGGATTGGGAGCCAAGCTGACCGCATCGGTACCTGAGGATGTCGGCTTTCAGAGTTTAGGGCTTCATGCTCTCGGGTTCGGAAGTAGCTAAATTGTGATCAACAGGGTTCCGATGAACATCATCACATCTGGCCACGACGGATCACTGATCTATTCCTGGACCTCGAACGTTGGGCAGCGGCTGGTTCATCAATCAAAATTAGACCCCAGGTCCCAAGACCTACGTCCTAAGCCCCAAAATCTCCAAACCCCACGCTAACAAGAATTCTTAAACCCCATTAGCCCAACATCCAAAAACCTGAAACCGAACCCGGTTGCGCTCGCTCTGGAGAGTCGCGCCCGGCATGTGCTCCGAAGGTTGGAAAGGGACCTGAGCATCGCCGCAACGACCGAGGGTTTTGGGGCTCAAGGCAGGTTAGCTATAGGGACCTGAATAACTAGAATAGGGTTTTGGGGAATATTATACTATAAAAAAAGGAACTCCCCACAGTAGTATAGCTAAGTCATTATTCTGTCTGCTTTGCCGCCCGCTGCCTAGGCTTACAGCCTGCTGGCTAGCCCTGGGCGATGCAAGCTTCTGCAATGCATCGACCCTGAATATCTCCGCTAGACTACGGCTTAGGATTTCGGGATCCAGCTTGGGTGCTATCAGCTATCACAGCGGTGCCTGTGTTTCGTGTATACAATACGGCTGCGAGAACAGCACAGCATACCCTCGAAAGAAGTACACCCCAAAATACACCCCAAAAGCAAAGCACGCTAGGATCTCCCAAGCATTATTCTTAGTTCCTGCTCGACAACAGCTCTCAGCATCGACCCATATCGAACATCCGAAAGTGTTGCCGCAACAGACGACAAAACTACACAACAATCTGCAAAACCTGGGTCTTAAACACACAAGAGTCTGGATCCTAGAATCCGACAGCTTGAAGCTCCAAACCGTGAGCCATGCACCTCTATGTGAAACCCAGCAGACCGTAAACACTAAACCCTCTTAACAAACAGAAACTGAGCGTTGTGCTGCCTCCCGGGCTTCTTTTCTTGCAGCCTCCGAGAAGATGAACTATACAAAACAATGCTATTAATCGCCAAAGCCTTGAAGAGGCAGTTGGGGTTTAGGGTTGATTGAGGGCTTGGGGTTTAGAGGCTTGTACATCTAGGACTTTGGGGGTCTGGAGTTAAGGGTTTAGGTAGTGTGTGCTATCTCAGAACTGCTAATGGGAAAGCCGCGTGGGTGATGGTTCGTATACCATCGTATGATTATATAAGGGCCTTCAAGGGGATACCATTGCGAATCATTCAGACCTTCAGGTTGCAAGTGAGCATGCGGGTTAGCCGGCCGGCTGTCGAATCAACGACTGTTGAGTCTCCTACATGAGAAGTGGATGCTGAATGGTACTGGATGTTGTGCGGCAAAAAGCAAAAGAGACACGCAGGCAAAGTCACAAGGCAACTACAAATCGCAACGAGTTTGTCACACGTACAACTCTTACAAGTAGCGCCCTGAAATCGGGCATTACTTAAAGTGCACGCCGCGTGGTGTTTGTTCCAAAACCCTTTTCCAAAATAAAGTGTCTGCCTAGGATGCTGTAGACGAGCAGTACTACCTTTCTGGAACCTTTAGTTGAACTGCTTTAAGGACGGCCTGGCCTTACAAGGGTTTCTAACCTTCCAACCATTCAACTGAACTCCTTGAGGAAAAGCCCTCAAGCCCTAAACTCCCGGGTCGGGTTAGCTTGCTATAATCGATTGCGATACCCAAAACCCCAGTCCACTTATTAACGCACCGAAGGATTCGTGTTAGACGAACCCTAAACCTAAACCGTAAACCCCAAAGCCCTAACCCGAAAACCCTAAGCCCTAAGCCCTAAACCCTAAACCCCTAAGCCCCAAGCCCTACACCCCTAAATCCTAAACCCTAGTCTTAGAGGAAGCCCTGCCTCTGCGTCGGCCTCGGCTTTCATCGCCTCGGACCCGAGCGGACAATTCTATGGATCAGCTGTAGAGACAATAAAAGCAGTTGGTGTGGATGTGGACTCAGCGCGTGTGAATGGTCAAGGGTGCCGAGAGTTGAGGGAAGCCGAATCAGCACGGGGGCGGATGGACAACTGACGCTGGCTCCCCACCCCCTCACGACTCAAACCCCCCAAATGTCAGCCTCCTGGGTTGGGGCTTCGGCACGTGGCGAATCTCCGAGGACAGCCTCTGCTGAGAAGTTTAAGTGGCTGTGGACGTCCGAAGGGACTCTGGGTCTTAGGCTAAGTGGAATCTATGAATCAAGATTGTCTGCTGGAACATCCTGAGCGACTAAACCCTAATTCATCCTAAGTCACGATGTGTTCGCTTGGGAACGAAGCAGTGAGTTTTGGGGATGGCGATGATTTGGAAGCGGACCCAAGAAAAAGTTCCCTCGTTCTTTTACCTTTCTATCAATATGGTACTTTGCAACTATATGGGCCCACATACATCGCCCGCGAGCAAAAATGTCCAAAACAAGTCATGTAGATCTTCTTGTCGCAACTTCATAACATGACCCCTCAACCAACTTGGTTGCGCACCATCCAATACCTGAACCGCCAGTTCCCCACCCCTGGCCTCCACAGCAAGCTGGACCTGGGCAGTAAAGTTGATACTTGTGGCGGACGTGATGGAACACGCTGGATGCATAGCATGTTGCAAATGCTTGAAAAGGCTCCACATCTTGAGAACTACCCATGTGGGATTTGCACGTGCCGCTGCGGAATCTCCCGCAGCTAGCAGTGCTGCTTCTGTATGCTTCCCTACCTCTTTGCCTGTTGATTCTTGCAGCTGTGCATACTGCCTGAATGAGTGTTTGCAAAACTGGAATGCCCTAACCGCATGGCCTTGCGGACATGTCCCAAAAAAACGTGTCTCCCTCCTGCGCCCAAAGTCCTGTAATCTATCCTACCCAGGAAGAGAAACAAGCTGCAACCGCACATGCCTGCAAAATCCCAGAAAAAAACTCTCCTGACAAACCGAACGGAGAGCAACAAGAAAACTGCGCCATGATCTCAAGCCAACCTGCAAACCCAAAACCCGACCAAACCCGAAACCCCACACCCTAGCAGCCCTAGCACAAGCTTTTCGCCCATTTGGCCAAGATGCATCGCCTCCGACAAGCTTCAAGAGTGCTTTTGCCTCCTTCTTGTCGAGGCCGAGCTCCTTCCAGAAACAAGGTCTCTAGAATGTATGGGGTTTAGAGGTTTTATGGGCTTCATGCGGTTTTGGGATCTATAGGCTTTGGGATGTAGGGCCTTTAGTTTAGTGCGCAGGCTTTATGCAATGAGGGATAAACATGTTAGATGTGGGTGTCTTTTCAGTGCTCCAGCCCACGTATTAAATGCACTCATCTGGTGCTTGTGTGGATTGGTTACAGGGAATGTCGACAGGCACCGACACCCAGATAGATGGCATGACAAGGGTTGAAATTCTGAAAAGAAGACCACATCATAGGGAAAGCGTGCACTCGCCACTAAGCCAGACAGAGAGAGAGAGAGAGAGAGAGAGAAAGGCCGCAGTCAAACGACCAGTGCAAACACAACACAAAGACTGGAAATGAGCGTGCCGCATATGCCCCACCTGACCTGAAAAATGAACGCAACAAGCAAGATTCATTGGTTGGGCCCCTGGTGCCTGCAGTGCGTGGACCTTGGCACGTCTGGCCTGTAGACAAAGCTTTGTTCAACCGCTCCGTCTGTCACAAGGCGCAAACTATGGGCTGCTGCACCAAACAAGACACTTGGGCCCAAGCTTCTCTACGGGCCAGCTCTTCATCTGTCTGGCGAAGCCAATCCCTCACCTTGCAGATGTGCAGGACATGGTCAGTAGCCATGTAAATGAAAGCGAGTTTTCAGACATGTTCGTTCGCTGCAACACTCAAAGAACTGCCCATTTAGACCCCAAAAAACCCTAGCCCTGAAGCCGAATAGAATGCGTGCTCACGCTTCTACTTTTGATGCCATAAGGGCTCAAAGAACTGCCCATTCAGACCCCCAAAATAACCCTAACCCTGAGCCCGAATAGAAGGCGTGCTCACGCTTCTACATTTAATGCCAAAAGAGCTCGAAGAACTGCCCATTCAGACCCCCAAAATAACACTAACCCTGAACCCGAGTAGAAGGCGTGCTCGCGCTTCTACTTTTAATGCCATTAGGGGGCCTGATCGCGCGGGAGCGACAAGATGTGCGCCGCCTCCGCCTTCCACGGCAGATTTCACGAACGATGCAAGCCAGGGTTTTTGGGTTTAGGGTTTAGGGTTAAGAACTAGGATCTCCAGATTCAGATCTAGGATCACAGCTTAGGACTTAGGGATTTATAGGATCTCTAGGTTCAGATCTAGGATCACAGTTTAGGACTTGGGGATTTCGAGCGTAGGATTTCCGACTTGTGGTTTATACAGTTTAGGCTTTACGGTCTTCACGTCAGGGGCCGTTTAAAAGCCGAGATGACCGCATCAGAAAATGAGGTCTGGGACAGCTACTGTTCTTGGACTGCGATCGAGCCAGAAGAGAACAAATCTCAATCCTGACGGATTCTGTCTCGTGAGCAAAGCTCGAAAAACTCAACAAAAGCAGAAACAAAAAACGAAATCGACTTCCAAGACCTAAAAACCTAAATCTGGAACCCTAATCACCACACTTCACGCAAACCACCAGAAGGTTAAGATTTGGATGCAGATGGATGCAGCAAGCTGCGCACCTGGCCTGTATCTGCTCAGGTGTCAGCACGATGCGCGGCATGGCTCAGGATGGCAGCAGTGGTGCTAGTACAGCAAGTAGAAGTAGTGGAAGTAGCAACTCCAACCCAGGGCGGCCCACGCAAATGGGCGCGAGAGCCTAGATGAAGATTCATGCGCCTTTGCCAAGGCGGCACGTAGTCAGGTAGGAGTTGACAGATGATATGACACGAAGGAAACAAGTGCTGAACAAGTTTGGTGATGTTCTGGTGGTTGCTTGCATGACGAAATAACATTATCGATTTCATTTCTAGTCGCGACATGATCTCCTACACACACACACACACGTATGCAATCGGCCGCTATGTTCCCGGTATTTCGAGGTATCCACTGGAGAACTGAAAGCCCTCCGCGCAAGCATGCAGCTGATATTGCAGGACGTCGGCAGCATCACGGCAACGTTGCGCTGAACTTTGGCATTGGACACCCATGACAAAATCGGTCCTTTTCCTGAATCCCTACAGCTCTGATTTCCCCTCTGGGTTGCTAGTTTCCTCCGGCTCTCGAGGAGCTTTGGCCCTGAATAGGGCATTGCATGATGCGGAAACACAGTCAAACACCTGATATGCATGAAAACTCAATTTCAGGCTCTCGACACAGATACATCGCATCAGCACTCGGCGCTTGCACATCATTCTACTTGCACGAGGTCAACTTCCAAGAGCCATTTCCTTTGGGCACTAGTTTCAAGCACAGTGACTCTTGGAGGCCAGTGCGAAAACTACAAATTCTACTGCCATGCCTAAGCAGGTCTTCAAGACCAGCTGTGGGGCTCATGCTTGGAATGCACTGCGCGCACGATTCCTTCTTATGCTTATGCTGCCTTCCAAAAGGGTGCGCAGGGCTTTGAGCCGTCCATGCTTTTTGAATTCAGAGCACCTGCCAGCGAAACAAGCCCTCTCAAAGCAGCAGGGGGAGGAAGGATGTTCAGCACCTAGCGATGCCGTTGCGCAGCCCTTGCTCAGCATCTCCGTTCTTCCTTGTCAGCGGCTTTACGGTGCTAAAAACTTCTTCTCGCATTGAGACAACATTAGAGGACTCTTTTCGTGGGATGCCTGTGGTCAGAATGCTGCTAGGACCCCACTTCTAGTCTGCATGTTCTGACAACAACCTCGCTGAGTCGCAAAGCTCATGAGATGCGTTATCATGATGCCAAGCAACAGTAGCATCGGTACCATGTTCTAGTCGTCAAAGATTCTGGTTCTGCTTCATGTATGCGTTTATTTCGAACACTTTCCATGTCTCCAAGACACCCTGACACAGAGGAGCATGAAGCCATTAAGAGGCCACGTTGTGATGGCGCCGCTTGCACGTGGGGTGCGTGAAGCGGTACACCCAATCGTCTCGCAGACATCCTCGTGCTCCTGAGCTCCATGATTGGCGTAAGCGCGCTCATGTCTTCTTCTCGCATTCGCATGTCAACATTTCCTTAGCGTTATCCTGAATGAAGCTTGGGCCCAGCTTAGGGCTTCAGGCTCAGAGCGCAGGCGTGAATGAAGCCCCTTACAATGTGTGCGAGATCTACACCAAATCCAAGCGGCAACTGATTGCTGGAGGGGCGCTTAGCACCTGCGTAGAGCAGACCGAACGAAGTCTTCATCGGGTCCGGGTCCGATCCTTCGATGTGGGAAACTACGTGGCGACATGACGACAGAGATCGTTTGCTGGCAAGGTCCGCGTAGGGTTCCTCTGCGGGTTCCTTGAAAGCGTTGGGATACTTGGGGGTTCATGGGTAGTTATAAGTGGGATTATAAGTCCCCGAATATGGATTGAAGGTACAGTTGCCCTACTTATAACTACCCACGAACCTCCAAGCAAAGGCTCGGCATGCCCTTGCAAAGGTTTAGGGTTTAGTTGGTGCTCGGGTTCTTGCAGTTTTGGCTGAAGGTGTGTAGAGGTCATAAGCCGTAAACCCTGAACCCTAAACCCGAGCTTCTGCTGAAGTTGCCCCGGCTACCTGGTAGCCCTGCACCCTAGACCGTGCACCCTGGACCCTATAGTGTAGGGGCCTGAATGATTAGAATAGGGTTTTAGGGTATATTATATTTATTATAGTAAGGAGCCCCAAACTAGTATAGGTAATTATTTAGGCCCCTACATTACATGCCCCACACCTTTCTTTCCAAGAGACGCTGATGGCGAGCCCACAAAGTGTCGAATCTGCTGCGACTGCAATCCTGCCTAAGGAATCGGCTGGGGGTTGAGAGTTGGATCGGCGTTTACGTAAAGAACCAGAGGGCTTGATAAACGTTCTATAAAGGTTGTATGCTTATAGGGAGTGTCTGTAGGCAAGTTTGAGGATACGGTTTAGGATTTAGGTGGTTTAGGGTTGAGGCTTTCGGTACGGTTTTGAAAGGGGGTTATCGGGTTTTGACAAGGGCATTTTACAAGGGTGCTATGGGGTTTAAGGTGTAGGAACCTAGGTGGGTAGGACTTGTGGATGGGTTTGACAGGACAGGGTATAGGCTTGGGTCTATGCTGCTGTCCCTTTTACTCATAGTAGCACCATGACTATTGCACTTACAACTGATATTATTAGCATTACCATCACCTTGGCTCTACAACGAGCGTGAAGACTTTTGAAGGCTCAAGGCTTAATATAGCGGCCTAAATAATTACCAATACTACTACTTTGGTGATTACTGTAATTATAGCATGCTGGACCCCAAAACCCTATTCTAAAAATTAGGCTCCTATATTTGGCATTCAACGTTTCAGGTTCAGGCGGCTGCTCCTAGGGCTCAGGGTTTAAGGTGCTTTCGGGCGTCACAGAAACTTGAAAACTGGGGATTTTAGCCTCCATAACACCGGAGCAGTCTCTCACCTCTAGTCGCATTTAGGGTTTAGGGCATAACGTGATGAAAGGCACATGATGATGAGAAGGATTGGGATCTCCACAGCCTAGTATGTGAGGCGTGTTTGACTCAGGAACCACAGGTTCAGAAAACGACGCTGGAGACCAAAGGTAGGGTTCAGGGCTTCCGGGCTAGACTGTTGGTCGTAGGTCTCGAGAGCGTCGGGTTTACGCATTTACTTGTCTTGGGTGATGACGAAAGCCCACACAAACTTTTCGACGAAAAACTGAGTTAGGACGGCGAATTCGTGTTCAACCATAAACCCTAAAGCGTGCACTTCAACCTGTCTGCCATAGATACCTCGAGCATAAACACTCCATCGCAAGACCCAAGC